CCGACGCCGGCGCGGGTTTGGGGGCGCCGGCGGCCGCGCGAGGGGGGCTGGGGGGTTTCGGGGTGCTGCCCCCGGCGGATTTTTCCGAGCCGGACCAGGCGGGGTCGGGTTTGGGGGGCGGGCGGTGAGGAGGGGTCGCGGCGCTTTGGCTGCAGCTGTCGGCTTTGGATTTCTTCAAAGCGCCGCCGCCGCCGCCCTTCACCTTGGCCTTCCTCTTCTTGCGCGTCTCGCCCTTGGCTTTGACCTTGACCTTCTTCACCCCCGCCTTGGCCTTGGGGGGCTTCGCCTTGCGGGGTTTCGCCGCCGCGTCGCGAGCTTGCCCCCCGTCGCTTTTGGGGGTCGCTTTCTCCGCCTTCTCCTCGGCTTTCAGGAACGCCGCGCGGCTCTCGGCGTCGCGGGCGAATTTCACCCCGATCCCGGCGCCGCCGCCGTCCTTGCCGGGGGTGGTGGTGGAGCTGACGCCCTCCCGGATCAGCACCGACACCTTGGATTGAAGCTTCACCTTCCTGGGCACCGCCGGCGCCGGCGGCGTTTTCGGCGCCGCCGTTTCCGCCCCTTCCTTGTGCCCCCCGCCCGTTTTCCCTTTCCGCCCGCTTTTCTCCCGCTGCTTCTCCTTGCTTTTCCCGGCCTCGGCCGCGGCGGGCTCGGCGTAATCCTTGAATTTCTTCTTGTATTTCTCCCTCCCCGCCGGCCTCTCCTCGGCGCGGCTCCGTTTCCTCTCCTTCTCCTTCTTGCCGGGCTCCGGCGGCGCCGGCCTGGCCTCGCTTTTGCGGCCGGGGAACTCGGCGTGCTCGCGGTCGGAGAAGCCCTCGAAGCTCAACCCTTCGGAATCGTAGAGCACCTCCCGTTTGGGCTCGGGCGTGCCGGCGGCGCGCCGGTTCACCGTGATGGTTCTCTTGATGGCGAAAAGATCCGAGTCGTTCAGCTCCTGCACCGAGGGCGGCACCACGGCCCGCGGCTCGCGCCGCCGCGCCGCCTCGCTCTTCTCCGCCGCCTTGCCCTCGCCGTCGCGCCGGGAGCCTCGCCGCTCCCTGGACCTCGAGCGCTGCTTCTTCTTCTTCTTCTCCCCGCGGTGTTTCTCCTTGCGCCGCGAGCGCCCGGAGCTGCCGGAACGCCGCCGGCGCCGCTTCTCCCTGGAGCGCGACCGCCTGGACCACGAGCGCCGGCGCGACCTCGACCTG